CTAAATATAATCGTGTAATGGGATACTATGCAAAAATAAAGGGGCAAATTAATTTGATCATCATTGAGTTACATGATATAACATTTAATGTTCTTTGTAATACATCTTAATTTTGTTGATCAATAAACCACATTCTACACAACATAGCAATATTATTAAAAATAACGAATAAAGGAAAAACAACTAACTATCAAAAACTATACCAACAAATCAAAAAAGAATTACAAGATGAAGAAGATAATTTAATAGAACTAGAAGCAAATCTAAAAATGGAATGTAACAACAACCATACTATATCAAAACGACTAAACAAAGTAAGCAAGGAAATAGTACAAAACGTTGTACGATTAGAAGAAAATAGAATAGAATTATTTGAAGGACTAATTGACGACTATGACAAAAAAGAAATGAATATTGAAGAACAATGGATAAGACTAACGACTAAACTACTCAGAGAAAAAATGGACAATAGCACACAAATGAAAGAATCTATTATCACACCACAAGAACAAACAAGAAAACAAAAACGTAACACTGACATAAAAAGGATAATATTAGCAATGGAATTAAAAGAACCAATAAATGACTTATGGGAAACACTAGCTCAAAATATCGAACATATGAATAAGTTAACACAACAATTAAAAACAAAAGAAATATTCGACTTTAATTTCAATATTGAACTACCTCAGTTTCCAAACTTAAGAACACTAGGAGAAATTGGACATATAGGAGAACTAACACGAAAAATAATCATACAACATAAACATGCACAATTATCTATATCACGAGGACAATTTATACTACAACTAATAAACTTTATAACAAGAATAGGAAACAGTAAAATTAAGAAACCACTAATAACCGAATTAAACGATAGCATTAACAAGGAAATAGAAAGAACTGATGGATTAACCATAAAATCTGAAGAATACACTGGATCAAAATTGAACAGATTAAAGAACATTATATGTTACCCACCAATTACAGAAGGAGATCAAGGACACATAGACTTAAATAAAGGAAGAAAATTATCTGCATCATCAAACACTGGACTACCAAACACAACAAAAGAAAAAGAAAATAACGAACTATCTTGGATAATAGAATACGTAAAGAAATACCAAGAAAAACCATAACATGAATAAAACTATACTAATAATCGAAGGAATAAACAGAAAAATTACCCAATTAAGAAAAAACAATCCAATACATATACCTATAATAGAAATAACTGACGAAACCATACAACAACTGACAGATAATATAGGAGAATTAGAAGAAACAATACAACAATGGAAACAACAAGAACTAATAATAGAAAAATTAGCGGAAATAATAAATGAACGAATATACCGACAAGTACAGACACGAACCATAGACGAAGAAGACATAGAAGACTTTTTGGAACAATATAAACCAACACCAAGACCATCACAAGAACCATATAAACCAATAAAATTACCACCACCAATTGTTAAACCGATATCTACCGGAATAACACCAGCAAATGTAACACAAATGATGAATGATCTTTTCAATAATATGAACATAACCAGTAATATACTTAATAATGCAATTGAAAACGAAGGAATAACTCGAAAATTATTACTCGAAATAGTCAACGAGGTAATCAACAAAACTGAAAAAGCACTTGGAAAAGAAGACACACCTGACATAATTGAAATAACGGATGATACGTTTGACATAATCACACGAAATCTGGACGAACTAGTTAAGGCAACTGAAGATAACCAAAAAGAAATAATGGAAGAAATTAAACCAATGATTAATGGAATATTATACACACTCTCAAAAATTAACGGAAAACCAATAGAAATAACACCAGACAACACTGTAAAAAATGATATCATAAAGATAGAAACATTAGTACAAAAACACCAAAAGAATTGTTTAGAAAAAGATAAGATAATCAACGACATAACCGATAAAATATTCAAAGAAAACGAAAGGCTCACCAACACACAATACCCATATCAAGAAATACTTATGAAAAATAGAGAACCTGAAAAAGGAAAAATCAAAGAAGAATGGACAAAATTGGAAAATAATATAGCTAAAATAGAACAACGAATGATAAAAACAACAGAAACAACAGCACAATTTATTACCACGACATACAGAAAAATTAATACGCTACTCAACAAATCAATAGACAATAACGAACTAGCAGAACTATTACAAGGACCAATAACGATAATAAAACAAAAACTAATCAGTTTATGGGACAAACTGACAAATGATCATTTAGAAAAGAACCATATAATCAGAACTATAGGAATCAGCTTACGACAGGAAAATGACTGAAGAAAACAATTATTAACAAACCATACTTGAAGACTATCAAAGATACCGACAAAACGTACAAATAAGGATTAATGTAAAAAACGAACTAATAAAAGAACAAACACAAACTATAGATAAACTGGAAAATGAAAACATACGACTAAACAACGAACAAATTAATTAACACAAGAACTAGAGAAAATTACAAAACAATATACTAATTTAATAACAGAATATAATAGTGGAATACAAACAATACAAAAAAACACAACAACTGTGATAAATGAAATATATCAATTAGACAAAAAAGAAGACATACCATCAAAAATAAATGGAAATCAAGAACATTCGATAAATGAACTAGGACAAATACTATTAACAGACTGGAAACAACATAAGAAAACATTTTTAGACCACCTATTATTTACTTACAAACTAAGTCGAGAATTTACACAAACAATAGAAAAGTATGGAATACCAACTATTACTGAACAACATAGCAGTAATTGACAAAATAATATCATACGAAAAAACAGGACAAGAAAAACCAAAATTAACTGACAATACCTATACTAAATGGGAACAAGTAAAAAATCATTTACAAGAACAACAAAAACTTATAAATAAACACGAAAGAACAATACAAACACTACGAACTCAAGGAATGAACGATATAATCCTAGATATCACAATAGAAAGTTACGTACAAGAAACTGACTTCTATACATATCAAGATCAATTTGGAAAATCTTTAGTACAAAAACTAGACAAAAATAAGAAACCTGTAAAAGACAAAAACAGAAATCCCATATACATAGATTACGACGGAACAGAACTAGAAAATACATTAGACGGACAACCAATAAGAAAATCTAAGAAAAACATAGCAATATTACAACCATCTGACACAGAAGACGTATATAAAGATCAACACGGAAACCTTTACATAGCACACATTGTAAACGGATTTCCAGTATATGACGAGAATAAAAATCCATTATATGTAGACCAAGAAAATAACGTACTAGACAACGACAATCAAGGAAACCCTATAATACAAATACCGTTACTAGAAATACCTATAAATATCTTACCAAACCCTGAACCAGAACAAGAAACACCACCAACACAAGATATACCAGTACAAACAGAAACACCAGAACAAGAAGACAAACCAAAAATGGGAGACAATTGCTTTCAACAACAGAATATCTTATATAACTATCAAAAAGACGTCGAAAACTATAACATTATAAGATTGAAAGGAATTAATATACCCTGGTTCGATGGACAAACAAAACACCTAGAACGATTCATTACCGAATTGAATGAACTAACACGTGTAGATCCTGGATTACCCAGAGGAAATGAACCAGATCAAAAAGGAATAACTGATCAAGGGGGAAAAGTCCCAGTAGGAAATGCGAGATCAGGAAATGCAATAAGAGATGGAAAAGTAGTACTAGAACCAGTACTAAACTGGAATACCAGCACTGTACAATCATCAGCAGGAATAACTACTATAGATCTAGGAGCATGAACAGAAATATACGGACATCCTAATGGAGGAACCACTGAGTTCCACGGAAACTGTTTACGAAGTGCAATATTTATAAATACCATAGCAGCAAACTTCACTGGCGCAGCAAGCGCTTGGTGGGAAAGCTTAGTAAGAAATAACGACGTACCACAAACACTATTATTATACCAATATTCAACAACCAATCCATCCAGTGCAGCAGTAGTAGACATAAACTCTACCGCAGCAAAAGGACTAATACAAGCATTGAGAGATAGATACCAGACCAAAGCATATTTACATACACTACAATTGGTCTATACACATGGATTATATTTTGATCCGAAACGACATAGAATAATGCAGGAATACAATAATTACTATGACATACAAGTAGAAAGAGCACAATGATACACTATCGACGAAACAAGTAGAAGAGAACACTATTTTACTAGATTACCAAAGCACATCAAAGATGCTGTAAATATGTGGATATACACTAATGAATCACAATCAGCACCTAACAGTTACACACCCACAATAAAACAAATACAAGATTATGCTGCAGGATTATACGATCAAGTAGTACTAGCAGAATGACTAACTACAATACCAAGGACAAGACTATCCTATAATATAGAACAACGAATAATCACAGACCAACTAGAAGATGAACAGGAAGATGGAAGACAAATCATATACGGAGACAGGATAAGAACACCAACAACTACTTATTTCCAAGGGAAATCATATGGAAAACAAATAGTAGGAAAATGGACACACCCTAGTAAAAGAATACCACTACGATTTTATAACATAACTGAAGACAATACATCAACACAAGAAGCAAGACAACAAGACTCAGAAATAGATGAAGAAAACAACGAATCAGAAGAAAATAATGACATCAATTTTATAAGAGGAAGAAACGGAAGAAGAACACCACAAAGAAAATATCAACAACGATGATTCAGCAAAAGTAGAAGCAGGACACCCGACGGACGATTCCGACCAAGAAAAAATAGCAGAACCAGATATATACCAAGTTATCCACGAAATGTACAATTTGCAATACCAAAATCACAATATCGACCAAAATTCCAACCAAGATCACGAGGCAATAGCCCATGAAGAAATCAAACATCAAGAAATAACACCTATAGGAGATCAAGTACACCTGAAAGAACCACTAAAAAACAATTCCTACCTTTTGACGAGTACAAAGAAAAAATGATTAAAGAAGGGAAATGGATCGATAAAACCAAAACAACTATCAACAATGTAACAGATACCGAATCAGAATACTTTACAGAAGACGAAATAGAATTTGAAGAAAAAAACGAATCAGAGAAAGATGAAATATATTTACACGATCAATCAAAAAATACTGATGATCATGATATTATTGACTATTATTTCAATGATTATCAAGATACAACAAGACAACTTGAAAATATTTATCTAAATGAATCAGATGACGAATATTTCTATTGACCACACTCAGATAGAAACATACCAACACAACATGAACAAATCAACTTTATAACAGGATTAATGACAACAACCGCACTATCATACTTAGGAAAAGCACTACAACCGTTAATATCAAGAATAGGAAAAGACTGGACAAAGACACAAATTAAACAAATTAAACGACTCATATTACCAACTGTAAAGGAATTCATCAAGAAACAACTAAAGAATTACATACTTGATTACACTGCAAATATACTAACGACACAAATTGAAAAAAATATTGATCACATACTTGATCATCCGACAACAAACAAGATTGCAACAAGGATAGTAGATACCTTAATAACAGGACTAGGAAGCACAATATTTGGATAACGATACCAGCATTAACAGATAAAAGATCCAGACCAAATTATTAACCAATAAAATTATTAGGTAATCAATGACCAATAAGATTTCAAAAAGAAGGACAGGTAAAAGATGTGTCAAAGACAAAACACGTCTACAAGAAAAATTCAATCACTTATAAAAAGACACATCAAAGGACGTTAGAAAATTCATCAGAATAGCAAACAACTCTTCTGATAATAACAAATTGGCAATCAAACGGAAAAAAGAGATCAATGAACCAATCGACATAACACTCAATAGCTTGACATCAACAGACAAACACAAACTACCTAAATGACAAAAAATCAACCAACCAGAATCAGACTATCACGAAATAACACTTGAAGAAACCTTACGAAACCTTTGCATATACCTTGATACAATATCAAAAGAATTTACATTACCACACATTACCATTCGACATCAAAATAAGAATCTAATAGGACGAGCATCATATCAATATCAAAGAAAGAAAGAAAAAATCGAAACAAATATTCTATATACCGATACTAAGTGGAAAGATCAGAACAAGGAACCAATAACCAAAAGAAGAATTCAACGAAAAAAGAAAAACCAAACAAAATGACATCATCAGGAAATAACTCGGATACACCAGCATTCATTACCGGAAACAAAGATTACAATGGAACAACAGTACAAAAATGTAATAAACGACTTAACATAAACATCGAATATGGATGTACAGACAAACCAGACATGGCAATGGCAATATATATGTATCATAATATTGTCAAAAAAGGAGATCTGAATAAACATGAATTCGCGACACATTGTTGTGAATGTGCACGATCATATCCAATAAAACAAATGGAATAGCACGAAGCTGAAGATGGAAGATTCCGATGCATCTTTAACTGTAAATGAAGAGAACAAAATGAACAAAAAAGACAAAAAATAGAGGAATGAAGCAAATGGCAAATATACGATTATAGAAATAATGACAAACCAATTGAAGAAAAACAACAATCACCCTGAATAACATCATCAGCAGCAATACCATCACAAAACAAATCAACATGGAGTAGACCCAACACTTCACTATTAATCAACGATATCGCACCAACACCTTCGTTACCATCTGGAACGATGACACCACAAATCATACTAATTAACAAAACAACTAACATATCTTGAGAAGATCTAATGAATAATGAACAACAACAAAATCAATTAATTACTGACATAACAAAAGAATGGAAAAAAGTTGACATTATCACAAAACAGTACCAACAAGAAAAAACAATGAAATGTGACCAATGCCAACTAACACTACCAAAATCAGCACTAAACGAACTAACATCAATAGCAGGACATTACTGCCAAGTACCCGATTGCAGAGAACCAACCACAGGCGACAACATCACGCAATACCATCATACGCATATAATCTGTGAACTATGCAACCAGAAATGGAAAAAGGTTGACAAAGCAAGAAACTGGCGATATACAGACGAACAACGATCAATTAATCAACGAAACAAAGAAATAAACTATGGACGATCTTTATTAAATGAAACAGAAATATCAGCAGCAATAATCAATAATATCACATAGATTAATGAATCCAAAGACACCAAAAATATTAAAGCAGAAATACAAGGATACGTAGATAGAGGAATGACCAACCATGCAACAGCATGCAGGAAATGTTGTAAACCAAGAAGTATCGACAATTTGATACCTATAAACAACCAACTATATTGCAACACGTATACTAATGGAATGGTGCAGAAAGCGTATAATGACAAAAACAATCAAGAGTACCAAGAAGAACAAGACAAAACACAAGAACAATAGCAACAACACAGAAATAATAAATGAAAGGAATTAAACGAAGATGACTATGCAAAATGGTTAGAACAAAAGTTAGATGAATCAAGATCAATCATCGATAATATGAATTCTCAATCAACCACAATTAAGAATTCAAATTTATTTGAAAAAGAAGAAACTATCAAAGAAAACCATAAGCGAATACAAGAATTAAAAGAACAACTTATAAAACAAGAAAAAGAAAATACAAAAAGACTAAACGAAATAAGATACTATTATTTAGACCAAGGACGAACCCTCAACAACATCATCCTACGACAAAACAAAGTAAAAAACACGTTACGACTACTCTTGGGAGAGGAACTAACCTTGCTAGTGGACTTGGAACCAAAAAGAATGGTAGATCAATCTACATCAACAACACCGGATAGATCGATTAGCTCAGAATTGACAACATCAGACCAATCAACTTTATAAATAGGACTAACACCACGATCAACACACAACACCGCTGACATAAAATCAGACTGAACACCCACATCACAAGAAATAACACCCTTCTTAGAAACACTAGAAAGATTAGAAATAACACCCATTTGAGGCTGGATAACAGAGCGAAGAAACTTAATTTCTGACTTCAAAGAAGAAATACTTGTATCACGTTCCTGACAACGGACACATTTAGAACCACCAACAATAGCACGAGGAACAATCTTACGACCAATAGAGTCGATATTGGGAAACTCAGAAGGAACAGAAGAAGGAACAGTTTTAGAAACACTTTTATCCTGATAAGGACCTTTATGACCAACAGACCTTTTACCCTTATTAACTTTAGGCATTATCTACAACAAAAATATAATAAAAGCTTATTTAGCACCAAAACAATCACAAAAATAATTATAAAAAGAGAACGTTTCAGTTAAAAGAAACAATCTCAAGAAACAACAAAAACACGACCTGAAAAATAGATAGAAAACCCGAAGTTTATCAATTGAAAAACTTGGAAACAAGAAGAGTAAAACGAGAACTTCAAAATAAATAATATACATAACCCTTATAATTAACCAATGAACATTTTTCATAAAACACCTGAACTATTAATCATCATTTTAACCCAACCAATCGTTATTTATCTTATAATATAAATTACACTTATCAAATTACTTACATCATAACATCTCTATTTATAACAAAACATAATGCCACAAGATAATAGGATAAATACCCAATCAGAAGTAGACATAAAATTAAATGAAATAATAACCACAGCGCTATTAGACACAGGTGCAAGGCATACAGTAATATCTGAAAAATTAGCACAAAAACTCAAAACACCAATAGATAAGACAAAAACACGAACACTCAGAACAGCCGCAATAGGAGGACGAATGAACACAATTGGAACAATACATCATTTAAAAGCAATAATAGAGAAAGAACAATACCCAATAAAGATAAATAATGTATCAGTAATAAAGGAATTAGATAAACAACTCATAATCGAAAGAACTGAAATAATAAATAACGGACTAATAATAGATTTAAAAAGAAATAAAATAATGACATGAGACAAAAAAGAAAAAACTAATGACATAGTACAAATATTTGCAATACATGACAAATCCTTACAAATGCCCAAAATAGGCATAACACATAACTGGCAAGAAAAATACAATTGTGAACAAGACTTTGAACAAGTACACTTATCTAGACCCGATATAGAAAACAAAGGATTCACAGAATGGCAATACCCCGAAAATTGGGATAACGGAACACACGGAAACAACTATGTACACATATCTACAAGTCTATCAATAAGTAATGCAGGAAAGGAATACACTAGAAGTGACGGAACCAAACACAAACCAAATTTAGCAAGAATATTAGAAAAAATAGATTATGCAAGAAAAGCAAAAATGAAAGGAGTAATCATACACTGCGGATCCAAAAATGGAAAAGATATGAAAAAAGTAGGAAAACATGGGAAAAAGAAAAAAGTACCCATAACACAAAAAGAATTTGACGACAACTGGAAACAAATAATAAACAATAATGAAGCACATGGAAGAAATAACCCACAAGATAAAGTAAAAATATTTGTAGAAAATAGCGCATCCAAAAATTGTTATGGCGCAAAATGGACGGAACTACGGAAAATAGCGAAAGAACCAAACGTTGCTATTTGCATAGATACAATGCACTGGTTTGCAACAGGAAATTCATGGGAAGAATTATACGAAGCCACAAAAGATAACAAAGTACAACTATTCTACTTAAATGACATACCACATGCAGTAACATTAGGAAGCGGAATAGATCGATACGAACAAATAGGGAAAGGACAGTTACCTGTATCAGTAATCGAACACGTGATAACACAAGGAAAAGACATCATAATAGAAACACCAAACCCATGGCAATGGGGAAGAGAAATTCTTAATTTAAGAAAATGATTTAAAGAATTACAGAAACTACAAGAGATACCCAACGAAAACGAAAAGATAAACCACATAAACGAAAAACAAAAAATGAAAAAACTACTACAAACAGTAACTGAAAAACTAAGTTACATACAATATATATTCAACATTAAAGAACAAAGTAACGAAACAGGACCATGATTGGAACAACTCAGAAATAAAGGGAGAAGATATTACCAGAAACAACAATGGTTACAAAGAAAAATATTAGACTTACAACAACATCAAGAAAATTATAAACAACAATTAAATGAAATTCCCAAAATCTACCATGTAAAAGATAGAGAAACAGCATTAAAAGTAACCCTACCAGACAATGAAAAAGAATTAAACGAATGGATCATAAAACTCCATAGTAAAATTAGTGAAGGAAAAGGATACGAGAAACAGTACAAACAAAAAATATATAACGCCACAGAAAAAATGGGACCCTATGATGAAGAAAAAATGCAGAAATGGAGAAATATATTAAGACAATTAATCGACGAAATAGAATATTATGAAATATTATTAAATAGAGTTAAAGACCATGTCATAACATTAAGAAAACAAGACCAACATCGAAAAGCTTCAATAATACAAAAATTATTCAGAAAAAGACAAGTTCAAAAATTAAGACAGCAAAGAAATGAACTACAAAGACAAAAACAAGAACTGGATATATTACAAAAATCATTAGCTAAAGCAGAAGAAAACAAACAGAAAAACCAATACGTAACATCCCAACAACTAACACCTCAAAGACAAAACTTATACGATCAATGGTTTCAACAAGAATTAGCACAATATGACAGCTCACTTCGAAGGAGAAGTAGCCGACCTGAGAAAAATGCACAATCTATTACACGCTATAGACCAGGAAGGAAAACTCACCCACGAAGAAGACGCTCATATTCACCAAGAACCAAATCTCGATCACGATCAAGATCTCCAAGAACAAGAAAAACACGATCTAGATTACGAACAAAATCCAGAACCAGATCAAAATCACCAATAGAAGAATGGGAAGAAATACTAGTTAAACAATATTACGATAACGTCAGAATATTATCCGACTCATCACCAGATCCTTTAGCAATGACACCAAGACAAACACGATCCAGATCACAATCACCAACACCAGGACCATCAAATTGGACAACCAGAGGAAGACAACTAATTAGACAAAACAGCTCAGGACAAACAACACCGCGAACAAGATCATTATCAAATACTTCATCTCAAACAACAGCAAGAGCAACCGAACACGAACAATCAAGAATAATCACAGACGAGACAGACGAATTAAACGAAGACACACCATGACTATATTGGGACACAAGTACAACCCAACAATGGACATATACTATAATGATTAACGGAACTCAATTAAAAATTGGAATTGAACCACACTCAGAAAAAGATTACATGCCACTTAGACCCTGTAAAAAAAAATAAAAGACAAAAATCAGGAAAAAATCCGGTTTTTTAGTTCCGGAAAATCACAGGTTTTGTAAACAAAT